TTTTTTTTTGGTTTTTCTCCAGTACCGGGAACCGAACTCACGACCTTGCGCTTGCCAGGCAGGTGCTTTTGCCGCTGAGCTAAATCCCCAGCCCTGTATCATTTTTAATTAAATGTGCTTCTTATGTGCTGCACATTGGTATGTGTCATGATTCAAGCTGTCAATGTGTGTATTGACTGGGGAATTGATAGCATTTACACTGAGTTTTGTTGCCAAGTCCCTGACTTATTCCTCTCAGTGTGTTTCTTTCTTCTTCATTTCTTATCATTTATGTAGATGATCATCCCATGAGGTGCATTCAGGTTTTTTTACATGTTGACATTTGGCATCATTGTCTATTTCTATGAAATCCTTGGAAAACTTTTGCAAAGCTTGTTCAGAGCTCGTGCATTTGCTGAATGGATGCTTGCCGTGAAAATATGTTATTTCTGCATCAAGTTTAAGGAAAACTTTGGAAGGACAGATAAATTGAAATTAGAAGTTGATACCTTTTCAAGCTTAAAGCATTTCACTCCAAAACTTCTTGGCTTTTAAAGTTTCTATTGTGATGCCTGCTGGCTTTGCAATACACTAATCTGTGTATTTGACTTTTTGGTTTAGCAAAAAGCTATTAAGATTTTGTCCCTGTGATGGATTTCTGACTTTGAAATATTAAGATGCAGTTGGAACCCATTGTTCACACTTACCAAACAATGCTCACACTTACCAAAAAGAAACCACTTAACCACATTAGGACATTTTGGTCTTTTGTGAAGTATTTAAAGCCTTTATATCCAAACTGTTATTTTGCAAGGAGGTTTATGCTCATATTTATGGATTCTTCTCATGTAACACATTTGCTGCTATTATGCAAATCCTCTTGGTTGTTTTTCCATGTTGTATTTGCTTTACAATGATGTACGGCGACTTTCACTAATTATACTCTTTCCCATGAACCCTATATTCAACAACTTGGTTATTTTGGGAACAGAGGATGGAGTGTATTTAGCACCCCAACCATTTTCTCAAAAATAAGACTCTATCATTATTAATGTCACAAAATTATTTTGAATATTGGCCTGTACAGAAATAGTGACAATCATGTGACCCTATTAATATCATGTGAAATAGCGACAGTAGTATTACCTAAGAGAAATTAGATATTAGCAAACCACATAAACTACTGATACAGAACTCTTAATCCTAGAAGTGAAACTGAAAAGTATAGTGAAATGTAAAACCAAACTAGGTATTGACTTACAGCTAATATGAACTACATATAGAATTTATTTCACTGCTAATGCTAGAAAAATGTCAATAGAAATTTTACAGAGGTAAATATCAAAAATTAATAAAGTTTCTTGAGTATGCTATTAAAATTTAAGGGTGGGAAATTGGGAATGCAAAAGAAAATTATGAAACTTCAAATCAATGATAAGAGAAGGTGGAGAATGTGTGGCTCTGAAGGATCAATTTGTGGGTAGAATTGTGTCTATGGAATTTGAAAAAATAAAGGAAAAGTCTGAAAAGATCAATTTTTAAAAACAGAGAGAAAGGCAAAGAAAAATTATACAGAGAGTAAAATGAAATAAAAGTAAATAAAGGAGCAACATTTTAAATGGAGAAGAGGAAAACATAGCCAAATATAAAAGAAAAATGTTTAGAAGCATGTGTTGAGGTAAAACAAAGATAATCCAATCCTCGACAGACTTGAACAGAAGGCAGGTGAGAAGGAAAGAAGAAATAACAAACACAAGAACTTAAAAAAATCCCTAGAAACAATGTTCACACTTACCAAAAAGAAACCACTTAACTAACAACAAAGGAATTTTAAAGAACTTGGAAGCAGAGAAGGAAAAGGAAATTCCTCTGCGACTTCATGCCTGTGGTTATGTTCTGTGGTCTACATTTTGTGGCAATGTCTAATTCAAGCACGACTCTGTTATCACTGTTAGACAAAGGAGGCCATCAGAGCCCTGATCGTTGCCAGATAATCGTCAACATTCTAGCAGTAGACTGATAGTGGGTTACTTGTGTTTAGGGATTTCCAAATGCAAAGAACTTAATGATGAACCATCATTTTGGACATGAGGGCAGGGTAACAGTCATTGAGCTTATAACCCTCCTGAAATTGGTATCTTCCAATGTCTTTATTTCAAAGCTTGGAGACAGTGATTTGATGCTGCTTACCATTCTACCAACTCTCAAGGAGGTGGAAATCCTCTCCACAAATTTTGATGCTTTTATCTTCTCTAGCCTGGAAGTCAAGGCCTATAGGAAACTGAGAATGGAAACACATCCGATGGTGAGTCAGAAAACATTTTATACAAAATTTGCAACCCTACTAAAAGTATGTACAAGCATTAAGTGCAGATAGGAGGTTTTAAGGGACCTATACTCCAGTTTGCTTTTTCTGGGCAGTGAGGGAGGGTCTGAAGATCATTAGTATCTAATATATGTTCATGTACAGGTATATGTATATGTATCATGTTAATAATTTCCCTTAGTTTTTATGTGCTGATCAGGTCATCAGTCTCACAAGTGAGTACGCAGTGAAGGCTAAATAAAATGAGGCAAATGTAATGATTTTAGGGCTCCGAGAGGATCAAAGCCTTCTCACAGAATGTGAGATTCTCTAAGGGCTAAAACGAAAACCTTCTCTGGGTGGCCTGTATATATTTGTTCATCAGGAGAAGGGAGGAGAGTACTCAAGAAGGATGAAATTTCTCAAGGACTTCACCATGTAGGATATTAAATTAATCCTTAATAAGTATTAAATTAATCCATCCAGGAGGTATTTGCCAGAGGATGTAGTCTTTATCTAGTTGAGATCAGATCCAAGTGTCCTTGTCAGTGATCTTGCCTTGTCCTCTGAGGCTTTCCAGCTTCATCTGCCCTTCCACACTTTAGTAGGGATCAGCGTCTTACACAGTTTCCCTTACTAAGAGTCCAACACCCACCCTCAGACAAGGAGCCTAGGCCTTCGGAAGACTCACATGAAAAGCCATTGGTTAGTTTAAGTCCTGCTCAGGGCTGCTTCATAGTGGTCTCCATCAAGTATGTATATGTATATATGCACATGTGCAGATTTTTCTTTGTTTGAGTGTATATATTCATCCACACTGTCTTGATTACTTTTCTTTCTTTGCTAAGACAAAACAATGACACCCAAATTTTTGAAGAAAAGGTTCATTTAGCTTATAGTTTATGGAGGTTTCAGTCCATACTTGCTGGCTCCAAGGCAGAGTGGCACATGGCAGAAGGCAAGAGTACATGGTGGGCAAACAGCAAAACTAAGAGAGCAAAAAGGGAGCAGGACTGGCCTCAAGCAGCCTCTTTCTCCCTTACAAATGCAAAACTCCCCTCCCCAGGGCGGGTGGAGCACTCACACCCATAATCCCAGCATTGGATCATGGATCAATCATAAATTCTAAAATCCCACTCCAGGACAGCCTGAGTATTTGGGGGACATGAAGACATAAACCACAGCACACACTATGTTTTTGTCAGTACAAAAACCACGTTAAATACTTTTCTCTCTTATTCAGCTCATGGAATAGTTTGGACTACTTGTCTCATTTCCCATCCTAGTCACCACTACACTGTTAGCAATATGGGGAGGGCAGGGATAGGAGGTGAAAAACATTAGCAAAATATTTCAACCTACTTCATCTCCTTGTTTGATCTACAGTATGGAGAAGATTTTTAAAGAGGTTGTACCCTGCTGAAGGGTAACTAAACAGGGAGTTGTGGAATGAGAAATCATTTTTAACCTATCTTATCTCTTAAAAGAAACACATAAAAAGTAGTATGCTGCAAAATGAAAAATAAGCTTGAGTCATTTGCAGGAAATCAGATGCACCTTGAGAGCAGAATGTAAAGTAAGAGTAATCAGGCACACATATTTATAAATATCACAAAAAAAAGGTAATCATGATTTTAGAGAAAACATCCCACATATAAATATTTTAATACACATTTACTGAGACATCGACAAATTAATAAAAGATATTTTTGACTTCTGAACTTATGTTATATTCTAAGTAGTGGTGATAATTTTCCAGACAATTACTAGTCCTGCAAACTGCTGCATACATAACCTTGGTGAAAATGTGCTCTGAGATTGCTGCACATGTGTTTAAATTTCTTCTGTAAAGCCTAGCAATGTAATGGGATTTCTGTGGTAAACAAAATCTTTTAAGTAACACAAGTAAAAATATTAAAATATTCAAACAAGATTAAATGACGGAAAATGGGATGATATAGTGGATTTAAAAAGGGTAATTAACCAAATTTCACATTTGATAGTTGGATAGCATTGACCAATATGGTCGCTAACCTGTTTGATGATAGACACATAATGAAGGAGAAGAAAAATGAAAATGAGAAAATGGGTGAAATGAGTAACTTTATAAAACTTGTATTGTTGGAAAGTTTGCAGTGTATAGTGAATACATTCCTTGTGTGCAGTTCATACTTGTCCATGAGACCTCTTCATTTTTTCAGTGTCTTCTCCCATCCACTTTGCCCTCCCTCCTTTCCTGGTTTTTCTGACTTCTTCAAAAGATGTATTTCCCTATTTCTTATCATCTGTCTTTCCTTTTCTTTGTATTTTGACTTGGAGATTATCATGTGAGATCACCCGAGTGATTTTTAATCTTTCTGTCCAGTTTATTTGAATGAATTTTATCATCATAAGGTTTATCTATTTCCTTACAAATGGCTCAATTTTTTATTTAATTGTAGAATCCCAATGATAATTTTTTAAAAACTGGATATACAGTACCTGAAGAAGAATTTGTTAAGATATGGAGAAGGGTATGGAATCCAACTGAAAGATCAAAATATCAGGGCACTGCTTAGAAATTCTAGAAACTGCTGAGCATGTTCAGAGATCCGGAATGCTCGGGATACTGTTGTCCTCAGGATAAAATCATAGAAGCATTTGCCACTACAGCTGAAGAGTCTACATCAGTGCATTTTTCTCCTCAGCTGAGTGGTGTGTAACAACTCATGTTATGATACAGGACAATTATCCTGTTCTCAGAGATGGAATTGATAGCCTGCAGTGTTGCTGGTACTTTTCCAAGTAATATAAATATAATTTAAATATATGTTATTTAGATATGGAAAATATTGGATCTTTCAGCGTTCCCAACCCAGCATAAAACTTCAGTAGATGAGGAGTATCAGACAGATGCATGGAGATGAATGACCAATAACTGTGGTATAAAAATGGCAAAACACTGCAATGATTTTCATTGTGGTGTGTATTTAAACTTCCTTTAAATAAGTAGGATATATCTTTTTGGTACATTATTTCAAGGCTAAATTTTATAATAACATTTGTAGAATGAACATACATGATATTTATCTGAAGTTGTCCACATTATTTATACCACATTTCCTGTAAAACTCTGTGCACTACGAAGTGTATCATTTAATAGGTTTTGTCCCTCAGGGCGGGTCTCTGAAATTAGATCCATGTCTGGTGCTGACAGTGAGTGGACTCTTGCCCTAAACAGCTTGGCTTCTCCATATGTGCTATTTCTCCTCTATTTCAGTACTGTCTTCTCAGTTCACTTACTCAGACGTTTTCACTACTTCTCTGTCTAAACTGAAATGTGTATGTGTGTGTAGGAATCAATCACCATTGAAGACGTGACCATCAATTTCACCCCAGATGAATGGGCCCTACTGGACATGCCCCAGCGAAAGCTGTATAGAGATGTGATGCTGGAAAACATTGGTAACCTGGCATCTCTTGGTGAGTCTTTTTTATTCAAGTTTCTGTCTACCTATGAATATACCTATGTTCAATGCTATGCATAATAACTGTGTCATTTTCTAGAGTACATACTTCTTGTCTGGTTCAGTCTCTTTCTGCTTCATTCATATATATGACAACTATGTCAAAGATAATTCCATTTAAATTAAATACAGTACACTCCCTAAGATAGTCTTTAAAATTATTTCATGATTTAATGTAATTAAATCTCTAAATTCTCACCAAATCTGGGAACTAAAATTGAGGAACTTTATAAATATATCACTTATTATATACATGATTGTAATATTCTGTACATTATGGTGAGGCATGTGAAAGATATGAAAATAGAATGACTGTGTATATTTGAGGAGCTTATATTTTAGGCTGTTTTAAGTTATTCTCAAAGTACCATGAAGGTGTTTACATCTTTCCTTGTGTACACATGTTAGAGCCCGTTTTGAGCTCTTTATATTTTTGCATTTGTACTAGTACATGGTTGCAGTACATGGTTACATGAATGTGGAGAGTCGGTGCTTGTATAGAACTCATTTCAAATCTTTATTCTCCACTCCCATCTCTCTCTTCTCTTCCCACTCCCTCGACTCTGGGTTCCCATTACTTTTTGCAAAAGATGTATCTTCCCATTTCTCATGATCCTATGTTTTCATCTTTATTTATATTTTGGTTTTCAAAAAGAAGAGCAAAATTCATGTGAGAATTTTTTTGTTTGTTTGTTTGGTTTTTGGTTTTTTGGTTTTTCTCCGGTACCAGGAACCGAACTCACGACCTTGTGCTTGCCAGGCAGGCGCTTTTGCCGCTGAGCTAAATCCCCAGCCCCTCATGTGAGAATTAAACTTGTTTGTCTGACATTTCTTAACTTTTGTGTCACAGTGTATTCATTTTGTCAGAGATAGTTTAAGCTTCTCCTTTTAGAAATACTGATAATTCTATATTTCTTAAATTCACATACTGATATATTTTCCTAAATTCACAGAGGAGCGCAAGTGTCTTGAGAGCTACACAGCTTGGGTAAACAGTATAGATTTTCTCCTAACCTAGTGAAAGACCTACAATATTTTCCTTCTTAACACATTGCAGGGAAATTTTATTTTCATTTTAAAGAGAAAAGATCTAAGTCAAAATAACAAAGATAAATACCAAGCAAAAAATCCCCAAAACTGTATAAATTATACAGGATTTCAAAATAAGATGATAGGAAATCATCAGTGGTTGTTGTATTACTTATAGCTGCTCCGATTACTAGATATGGGTATGCAAGATTGATCAAACAATTAAACACTAACTGTTCCTTTCAATGAACCAATAGAAATTAGTAATACAGTTATCTTAGCTGTCTTATGTGTGTGTGTATGTATATTTTTCTTCATTTTTTTCTGCTTCTTTTGTTCTTTCCCTCATCCCAATTGTTCTTTCCTTTTAAGCAGTTCTTTCCCTCTCACAATATCTGTTGTACCTTTCAGTTTTATTTATTTTTCATGTTTTTATACTAGGGAGACATTAGAGTGTTTACATATGTGGGACTGATTTATTTCACTTATGTATGTGGTCTCTGGTTGCATCCATTACCTATAAAATGCTTGAGTTTATCTTTTTCATTATAGCTCAGTAATATTCCATTGTATAAAAATACCATATTTTTCTTATCCACTCCTTAGTTAATGTGCATTTGAGTTGTTTCCAAAATTTTGCTAGGACAAATAGTACTCCTATGCACATGGTGCACATATATAGCTGATGTATGATGCTTTTAATTCTTCTGGGAAAATATCCAGGAAAGTAATAGCTGGATTAAGTGGAACTTCTAATCCTACGTTTTTCAAGGAATAGCCACATTGATTTCCAAAGTGATTGCCTGGGCTTTTTATCTGCATTCATCTTATTTATTCTAGGAAGACTCCCATAGACTTGTCATAATGCATAAATATTTATTCTTATGATCTTAATAATACTCCTTGCCATTTTCTTCTGGACAGGACAAGAATACTGCAAACCAGATGTCATTTTTAACAGAGATGAGAGAGAAATCCTATGGATGGTAGAACAGAGGGATTTTCCCCCAAACCAGACTCCAGGTAAAAATGGTACTGATATTTCAATAGGGAAGAGATTCAAGCCAATGGGTATGGGAAATACATTTTTTAAGTAAATGATCCGCTCTTAAATAACATTATTTCAGTCCCTGGAATGGAGAATGCATAAAATTTTACCATCATTGTCATTATTTCATTTATATGATCTTTACTATTCATGTATTTTCATGTCTTTTTTTGGCTTCATAGTAAAAGAATATTTATGCATATAATGGAGTGAACTTTCATGTAATGACATTTCTTCTCATTATCTATATAGAAAGTTTTGCTTGTCTACCTTCTGAAGTGCTTGTCTCCATTTATTGATAACCTAATCCTGAAAACCCTGTACAATATCCAGTTAATTATATTTCTTAACCTATATTTCAATTTCACGTGAGCTATCTTATCTGCTTGTCATAATTTTGATGTCTTTTTTCTAACTGATAAATATTAATCAGACCAAACTGTAAGATTTATTTTAGAACAAATATATATGCATAAACTACGCATTGATCCCTTTCAATCAAACTGTCACATTCTTCACATTGCTTCTCTCCTTAACTTATTCTTCTTTTTCAAACATAACATTTTCCCTTCAAATTTTATGTCATTTCAAGCACTGTGATTGTGTTTTCTATTTCAAATATGAGAGAAATAATGTGAGTTTTGATTTTCCTACTTTGGCTTATTCTTCTTAACAAATTTACAGTTCCATCTAGACATTATTTTTATGATATTTATGAGTAAAGCATAGTATATCATGTATACATATGCCATATGTAGCCTTAGGATGATAGCTATGTCGTTCTGCATATCAATGAACAGTTTTTCAAAACCATTTATTGACAAGATTGCAATTTTATTATTGCATCTTTTATCCCTTTTTAAGAATGTATATGTATAAATATTCCTGACTGTGTTTTATTTGGTATAAACTGTTCTATTTTGGACATCTACACTTATGCCAATATATTGCTGTTCATCCCAGTGTTTGCTGTAAATTTTGATATGCTACTCTAACACTTTTGTTTGGTTGCTCGTTATTGCTTATTTATTTTTCTTGGTATATTGTGCTCAATTATAAATTTCTGGAATATATTTCTATTCTTATGAATTTACTTAGTCTTTTGATTGAAAGTGCAGTAAACTTACAGATCAATTTCGATATTATGTTCATTATACCAATATCAATTCTGTTGCATGAAAAATATGAGACGCTGTATTTGTCACTTTCCTGACTTTGGGTAATTTTTTGAATATATATGGGAGTTCAGAATATCAGAGTTTTCCTGTTATAGCTGGCTGGCTCCAGTTTGGAATATCACGGCAGAAGTGCCTTGTTTCGTCTGAAGCTTCCTTGATTCATGGAGGCTGAAATAGAATTTATTATAGGAAAGATTTCAGAGAGCACTCTGTTAGAGTTCATGGATTAATTGAAGACCTTATTTCATCCAGGCTCAAACTCTTAAAGTTATTTTCAGCCATGAACTTATCAACACATTAATCCATTCATAAATAGAGAGCTCCTCTGGTCTGTGCGTGTCCCCAAATCCAGTCCTCCTTATGCAGAAGAGTTCTGGGTGTCTTTCTAGATTTAAAATGTAAGAGTTCTATCATCTAGCCTATAGTCTCTACTATTCATTCAGTACTCTGAAACTTCCTGTACAGGATAATTTTACCTGTTTGGTGAAGTGTATTTAGTACCCATTGTACACATTGAAGTTATTGTAAATAGTAGATTCCCTGATTATTGTCTCAGTGTTCAATTTTTAGCATAAAAATGGTCTACTGCTTTCTGAATCATGATGTGTACTTTGCCATTTGGCTAAATTTGCTCGTGAGGTCCTAAAGGCTTCTGATATTTTCATCAACAAATATGCATAATATGACCTTTTCTGTTTGATAATTTTTATCTTCCCTTACTGCTATTCTTTTACTTTCTGCTGTTCTTTGTTTGCACTGGGTAAAAGGGTAAGCAATCCACTGAGTGTTAGTGATGACATAAATCCAAGTATATTTTCTCCTTTTACAGTAAATATTGTCGCTGTTCATCAAGCAGTGTGATGTTCATTCAACATCATATAGAATATTGATAATATAGACACGAGGTTATTGCAGTTTCGCATGTGTTGATGTCAGTAAATTATGTTTAATTTATTGATGAATGCCTTTGAATCCATTGATGATCTATTATTTCTCATTGATTCTCTGTATTTAGTGTATGAGAATTTCTGACTTGTGTATTCTGTAACATTCTAGCATTGAAGGAATGAAAGAATATGCACCATATATCTACTGAGGTCTTAAGATCTGTTTCTGAAATTCTATTTATGAATTTATCATTCATATTCACCAAAAATATTGTTCGATAAACATTTGGGTCATGCCCTTTTTGGACTTGGCCATTTCTTAATCTCTTCTTTAAACAAATGTGAGAATTCTTCTACCTAATAGATGCTTTCTTCTCCCTTTTTACCCACTTTGATCTCATACTTGGGAAACATTCTAGATCTTTTTTGTTTGTATTCCTATGATCCTTCATGCATGCATAACTTTTATATTTTTTTCCCATTTTGGTTGTTTTTGTAGTCATTACCATGGAGATCGAGTAGAATGCAGACATCTTGTATCTTATACCAATTTTTTCTTATTAAAATAACTCTTTCCTGCTATATGTTTTGCTTTATATGATCAGAGTATTTACAGGTTGTCTTATTTATTTTAAATAATTGTGATCTGGCCCCTATCATTTGAAGAAAGAAATATTTCTGCATATAACAAAGTAAACATATCCATCCATAGACGACTTACATAAGCTAGATATTGCACTGACACTTTCAAAATGTATCATTACTCTATATACATCTGCTCTATTATTAACTCTTCTTCAATAATGATGCAGAAAAGAGATTGAAAGGTGGGTGGTGTGGAGTTTTCTTCAGTCATGGGGAACTTGGTAAAGGAAAAATGAGTAGGTAAGAAATGAAACTTTGAGGTGCTGTCAGATTTGACATCCAAAAGTGATATAAACACAAGCACCCAATCAAAGATCTTCTGCTTTGACAGAATGAATAAAAGAAATAAACCCTTAGACAAGTTTACAAAGACATGCAGAGAAAAGACTCATGTTAATGCAACCAGAAATGGAAAAGACTAAGTCACAATGGACAACTTTGAAATCTGGAAGACAGCAATTACTACGAAAATTGTATTCCAATAAATTGGAAAATTTTGAAGAAAATGGCACATTCTGTAGTGCACAATACTACAGAAAACCCAAAAAGAAACAAAAATGTGAATAATGCAATAATAAACAATCAAGTTGAGACAAAATTAAAAATTGTAATATTTCACAACTTTGTATTATGTAATACTGAATTCAACTAAGCCATTCAGAGGTCTTATCACTAACAGTCCTCAACTTATTTAATAAATTGGAAAAAGATAGAGTTCTTCCCAACTCATTTGGGGAAGCTAGCAGCACTCTAATCCCAAACAAGACACACATCAGAATAAAAAAGAAAACTCAGGCCAATCTCCTTAATGAACATATATACAAAAAATTCTCTGCAAGGTATTTGTGAGGGAAATGTACGATATCATTAGAAAATCATGTATTGTGACCAAGTAGTATTTACAGCAGAACTGCAGGAATGGTTTAGCACATGCAAATACTTCAAATACACAACATGAAAAGAAACAAGCTCAAAAGCTATACGCTCATATGAGTAGGTGCAGAAGAGGTTTTTGAGAAAGTCCAACAATACATTATGATTAAAATACTCCTGAGCAGGAGGGGTCAAGGAGACTGTCACCCTGAAAGACTCTCCTTTTGGTTCATTCAACAAGCAGCCTTTTCTCTATACCCTGCTGGCAAGCCCAGATGAAAGAAATTACTGCATTCCTCATTCTGCTCCCTTCTTCCAATGAAAGTCCTTTCTACAGCACGATTTAAGTCTGTAATTATATACTGGTATTATGAATAGTAAATACTCTGTCCTTTCTTGTATTTATTTTTGGATCTGTCTATCTCACTGTAGTGACTTGATTTTCAAACCTTTATTACTGAGCAAAAATTCTTGCATCAAATAGGCATGACATATAGGTTCACTGAATCCATCTGACATACATGCTCACCAAATCCAGGATGGAAGCTGCAGGAGACTCTGGCCTGATGATGTCCCTGTGTTTATGTAGGCAACTCCAGGGACATATGTAGCGGTCAGCCACATGAGTGACATGCTAGCCACCTCTTTTCTTAGTTTTCTTTTTTCTAAATAAAAGGAGGAAAACATTAACAGACAGACAACCTTTTACAAAATAGCAAAAGAACAGTACAGACAATACAGAGTTACAAACAAAGTGGTAGGAAATTAACAATGCTTGTGTTATTACATAATGAT